TACTCGAATCTTGTCATGAATTTAATGCAATGCAAATTGATATAATTTGACGTAGAAGGAATATTAAGAGAAAAGATTACATATATCTATCAATAAAAATAAATGAATAAATAAAAAAAAAGAATGGATGCAGTTATATGCTATTATTAGTTTCGGATTCTTTATAACAGAATTATATATAAAAGGAATATTCATTGTCTTCTTTATAATCACATCACCACAAATCATTATTTCTGGAAGAAGATGGATCAGTATTTCGTAATACTAGATCAGCACTATTATCATTAGACATCATGTCATTTTTAGTAATAATGAAATCTTTGATTTTAAATAGGTAATTTGTCAATGTACATTATAGAATCTATTCAATAATACTTACGAGTTGAATATTGAAGACACTCTTACCTTGTCTACGAATTGTGTTAATAATAAATGCAGCAAATTTATAGCTTTCAAGAAGGCTATGCGCAATTTTATACATAATATTGATTGCTAATATTTATTGTTTAGGTACGTATAGATACGTTTAGGTATGTATAGATGGTGACTCATAGGTGTTTTCTAAAAAATGATGATTTTTCATAAAGTTCGATTGTTTGTTTGGTGTTATCTATTAATATGGTTAATAAAGTGATGTTTTCTTACTCGTGAAAATTAAATATATCCATTTCATATATCCATCTTGAAGCGATGGTTTTAATCAATTCGAACTTGCCAAAATCATTATATAAATATGTTAGTTTTGATTACTATGAAATTGTTAAGATCAAGGAAATTGAAAATTTTTAATAATTTTAGGCTAGGATTAGATTGCTCACCATTGTACAAATTACATTGGAATATTTAATTTATTATAAAATTTCTTCATCTATGAAATAAATTTAAATTAAATGAATTGATATTTAACAAGGCATTTATGTTTTTTTTTTTTTTTTTTGCTTATTCCGAAATATAAACTATTCCATAGACAATATATAATTTGACATAAAAATTTGCAATATGTAAAATTACAAAGTTTCTACATTAATATTTATTTAATATTTGTTGAATCGTCTATTTTCTGTATACTATCTTTATATATTTTTGATTTTTATGAATATAGTGCTTCTATATTGCATTTCTTATATAAACAATTTTGCATGTACAATTCTTTGTATTATATCAACCATAAGTAATTGAAATGAGAATCTAAAAACGTTTAACTGAAGACTTTTCGTGCCTTGGAGAATGCCATTGCCGCTAATTTTGCGCATTATTGCAAAGCGTGTTTATCTTTACATAATAGGCATGCTTGCAACATGAATTTAAATATCTACATCTGTTGTAACATGAATCTAATTATATACTGTTTATTTTTCACAAAAACTTGTCGATTATTTCTATTGTATTATATATTGTATTATATCTATTATATTATTTTGACTTTTTTCTTTTTTTTTATAACAATTGAAACTAGATTATTTAGTAGATTATGGAATGTAATATTCACGGACAGTCGCTATCTATAATGGTAAAGACGATCCGATCTCGACATAGTATAAACAAATGAATAATGATTTTTGTTTAGTGACATGGTACAACAAGATCTTTTTTTACTAATCTTCCAAATTAAATTATGCCTCGAAATTATGGTAGTCTTGCAGGTATGCGACGAAATTATATCCCATCCGAAATGAATCGCTCCTGGTGTAATGGCGCATATCAGTCATAAACATCAGAAATCTTATATATTTAATATTGTACTTTGACTATATTCATCTTTATAGTAGATTTTAAAATCTATAATTTATTTTTTGAAGAAGTTGAAACCCAAAGTGATGAAAAACTCGATTTTAATTTGAAATAGTCCAAGAAGAATTTACCATATACATTACTTTGGATGGATTGACTGGAACAGATGAAAATTTTTTTAATAGGAGTGCAACTTTTATGTTTTAATAAATTTATTTGAATGAAGAATTAAATTTAATACTTACGAACTTTCATATGTCGCTCGTCGAATCTTTCTTGAAATGATAACTGTATATGGTCTTTACGCATTTAGAACAGGCTTATGTAAAAAGAACTGATCACACTTTCTTTTGTAGTTTCGAACTTTTAATATATATATTCCTTCGCCAATGATCTGCAATTGAAATATTTTTGAAAGATTTGTCTTTTTCGAATTGTTTGGTTGTGTTCTTTAGGCTTAAATCTAATCCATGTATTTGCAATTGCATCTTTTTGAATTTTTTAATCAAATCCTTGACACGTTTCTCAAATATAAGAATATTCGTTGTTGAATGAATTTTTTGAAGAGTGAGTTTAATTTTCAAATTCATACATTCAGTTATTCAGAATCAATTATATATAATACACAAAATTGAAAGAAAAACGGACTTACTTGGAAAAAATAGTATTGAGTTAGCAATGTTAACATGCTGCAAAAATTGCTCTGCTCTAATGCTGAATTTTGCGATTTCCAGAAGAATTCCTTCAATTTCACAAATTATCTGCTTCCAGAATCCTTGATAGATCAGGTTGAACACATACTAAACTATGCTATCTTGGAAAATAATATTCCGCTTATCACGTCCAAAAGATAATATTTCAAAAAATCAATCTACATTAGATTTATAAAGATTAATGATTTGTCATATTTCATGAGAACAATGTATATTTGAATGACTATGAAATGTTTTTTGTTTGAGATTGTTGAAATTCTACATTTTTTATTTTTTCATGGGGTAATTGCCTCGAATGTTTCCTCCCATGTGGAAGGGATCATTTTGTTGATTTCACATATTACGAATTGACAGAGATCGAATCTATCTTAAACTGATAAAAAAAAAAGATTAACGAAAGGTGAATCGTAAATTTTTCAAATAATTGCACGATTAATCAGCAAGCAAAAATGACCGTAGCAAACAATTAGGTTAGGAAGCATTACGAATCTAACAAATGTGCAATAAATTGAATCTTGAAAACGGATGGAATCTTAAAAACGGAACGGAACGCTAAGAATATTAAATATTGAAGAATAAATATTAAAAACAAAATTAAGATGGTTTTATAAATTCATGTTATGAAATATCCTCATATCTGCATATCTTAATCCTATTCTAAAATAAATTAACGGTAAAATTGGCTATAAGTCTAAACAATAATGAATATTTATGATACATCAAATGATTAATATTTTGTCAAACATTTACTGTAATGTTTTTTCCAAAGTTTCTCATAATTTTACTCTGATAATTTTGCTTAATTTTAATTTTTAACTTTTCTAGTGTATCATAATTCATTATTATTAATGTAATATTTTTGTAAATTTTTATACATATTCAAACTATTTCAAACTCATGTTAATAATTTTTTTTATTGCAGAATAATATTTTAGCAAATGGAATTTAAAATATCAAGCAGATGATAGTTTAAATATTTTTTTTTTCAACTGTTTTGATATGAATTCCATGATGGACCATATTCATTAAATATATATTTCATATATTCTTTTGAACATACAAATTATTCATTTCAAATATTGGATATTTAAGATAAAATCGAACCGAGTATAACCATGACAATCATTTTTTGATAATAATTTTGATTTTCAATTTATATTTTTGAAAAGTTTAAATCAATTTTTAGATTGTTTTTGATACAATAAAATTAAACATTTTAGAAAAATAAATTGTAATAAATATCTCATACTATACCTTTTATTTGTGAAAACGGCAGCATCAGTTAGTGATCATAGTCGCAATTCTAACTGAATCACTGTATAGATGTCACCACAATCAGTTCGCTCACAATTCTTATGTCAACCATTATTATAAAATAGTTCCAAGCGCCTCCGCATTTATAATGGGATCATGTTATAAATATGTATGAAACCAAATCCAATACAAAAAATTCATTATATAGAATGTGATTGCTTATAAAAGATATACAAAAAATTATATATAAACGTAAAGAACATTATAGCATGATTCTATATTTCTGAATTAGTGAAGATTCCTGATCAGTAAATAAAAATACAAAAAATGATTCATTGAATTGATACTTGTCATTGTTTCAATATGCAATAAAATAAGATAAAAGTGAAAGACAATAGTAAAATACGACATTGAAACAATTTTTTTTTTATGATCGTCAGTAGTTTTAAAACTCAAGATATGTGTTCAATTTTTCAGTGAAATATGCATCAAATATGACAATGTTTTTGGTTATATGTTTTAAAATTAAATTTCAAAATTAAAACCTATCAATTTATCGTGGACAAATGAAAAACTACTGTTTGTATATAAAAATATTCGTTATGTGCAATAAATGAAGTGAAAATTATAGATTATAAATATATCAAAATATAATAAGAAATAAGAATAGCAATAAGAAATAATAAAAAGAATACATCGAAAGATTATTTTATGCACATCGAAAAAATTTCTAAACAACGGTATTATTTTCAATAAATTAAGAATTGATATTGTAACATTTATATTTATATCAGAAAACTGGTCGAACATTTATTAACAAAGAAATTATTGCTAAAGAATTCTCAAATGAAAATAAAATTATATAGAATTACTTGTCAAATAAAAATTCAATCATATGATTGTACAAAAAATAATTTGAGATGAAGGTTTATGATTTTTCAAAAACTTCGACAAAGTAAGTATGATATGTTTATGTTGCCGAATATTTCAACTGTAATACCATGATACAAAAACCATGGTTTTTGAACAATGTATTATTTACAGAAAAAGGCAAAAACGATTTAGCATTAATTCTATGAATGGAAAATTTTGACAATAAAATTATTATTTGCACATTTATTTGTTCATCAATAAAAAGTACAACTTATTTACGATATTACCGCTCTTCTAATAATAAGTGAATTATGTAAAATTATATCATATTACAAACGTTATTTTATTTTATACGATGGTGCATTATTTCATCTATATATCTGCATTACAGTTTAATTACAATTTTTCAACTAAATATTATAATTTTTAAATTAAATATTATTATAAAAAAATTTGATAAAATTTCTTCTATCATCTTAATGATAAAATTTCTATTTCTAGAATGTTCCAAAAATTTTGAAAATTCAACTTTTATATATAGATAATTTATATTTATTATCTATAGAAAAGAAATCCAATATTATTATATCTAAAGAATGAAAAGACAAATTTGAGAAAATTTACGTTCTATATAAATATAATATCGAATTAAATTTCAAAAATATGAAAATACCCATATTTTTGAGCTAATTTCAAGCAACATTTTGTTTTGCAAAAAATTTTCGTTAGTTTCGTAAGGATTTATTAAGAAAAAACTGGCCTGTAAGCTAATTGATTAGGTAGCTATGTGATTATGTGCCATCGATCATGTAAATGTTGAAAAAAATATATTAAATATAACAAATATTTTTTTATCGATAAAAAATTATATCATAAATAAATTGATTAATTGTTTTTCGTATAAAACGAATAAATTGAATTTAAGCGTTATTTAAAATGAATAATGTAAAATTATAATATAAAAAGAAAAAATACAAAACTAATGAACAATTAATAATACATATATGAATTAAAAAAAATAATGAAAATCATTTTCACTCATCAAAAATTCAACTCAAGTTTTAAAAAATACCATTTCTATATTAAATTAAAAATGAATATAAATTAACAAGAAAAAATTAATCATTTAATTGAAAATTCAGAAATTCAACTCAAGTTTTAAAAAGTACCATTAGGCATATATTAAAAATGAACAAAAATTAATAAGAAAAAAATTAATCATTTAGTTGAAAATTCAGAAATTCAACACAAGTTTTAAAAATATCATTACAGCATATATTATTAAATTAAAAACGAATATAAATTTACAAGAAAAAATTAATCATTTAATTGAAAATTCAGAAATTCAACTCAAGTTTTAAAAAATATCATTACAGCATATATTAAATTAAAAATGAACAGAAATTAACAAGAAAAAAATTAATCACTTAATTGAAAATTCAGAAATTCAACCCAAGTTTTAAAAAATGCCATTACAGCATATTAAAAAATATATATAGCATATTATAAATTAAAATGAACATAAATTTAAAAGAAAGAAATTAATCATTTATTTGAAAATTCAGAAATTCAACTTAAATTTTAAAAAATACCAATAAGTTATTTTTTTATACACGTATAAGTATAAAATGTATAAGTATATGTATATATATGTAAAATGATAAAAATACTTTTTAAACATTTTCAAAAATGGCAATCAATCTTATTGTTATAAATTTTTCTAATTGTAATTTAATATCTGTTGAATAAATTTATTTTATTTCTAAAAGTTATTGGATTATATTATTTATTTTAATTAAAAGTTGATTGCATTACATTGTATTCATAAAAAAGAAAAACTCATTAATATTATATTTTCATATTCAATTTAAATTCAATTATTATTTTTTTTATACTGAATTATTATTCAATAACTCATTAGAAATATAAAAGTATATTTAATATAATTTAATATAATTTAAATTACATACTAGGCCGAAATGAATTATAAATTAAATTAGAATTTTTTCTCATAAAGATTATTATTTTTTTTTTTAATAAAACTCTATTCATCGAATTTTTTCTCAAATACTCCCCTTAATCATTATATTTACATAATGAATTTTTCTTCGAAATATATCCATTTTTAACTCGTGTGTTAAGGTACTTAACTTAAAACTTTATAAAATGACATTCCGTAAGATCAGTGCTATTTTTGAAAGAACTATATATTTTTTAAAACCACTTTAGCTAGAATGTGAACATAATTTCGAAATGATAATTTTTTTTAGCCATTTTTAAACAATATCATTCTACATTCGAAGAAATTTATTAAACTTTATTAAAATTTATAAAACATTGGATCAATTTTGAGAACAACGGATCTATATGCAACATTCCTCTCCAATTTAATTCTAATTTATTAAAAATTATTATTAGAATTTTTTTAAGTTAAAAATCACATCAAAGGATAATGAACGTAAAAAAAGTCCAAATATTCTTAAAAATTAAAGGAAAGTTAGAAATTTGTGAATTTTTAAACTATTTGGATTAAATAAACTTTCAATTTTGTAAATTGAGTGAATTTTGTATCACAATGCGCATTTAACATGCGAACAAACATAGAATATTACAATATAATTGGATATTAACTTATAATGCTATGGAAATGCGACATCTGCGGCTCGACAATATCAAGAATTACATCAGAATGATCATTACAACACGAATAATCTAATGGAATGGAAATCTGTTGATACTATTTTGTCAATGAGAGGACATTACTGTTATCGCAACATAAGCCACTATCTAAAATAAGTTTCAATACAAAATAAATGTGATTAATTATTAATTAATAATAAATAATTTCATTTTGTTCAAGTATTAATCGAATAACCGTTTTCATAGGTTATACTCGTACAAATATCTACAAAATATTATTCAGAATTATTCAACGATTTCAATATTCGAGATAGCTGTTGAGAAAAGAATTTCTCATTTTCAAATACGTATTGTATTTATACAGATGAAGCGCTTTTTATACGAGAACACAATTTCAGGAACGAAGAAAGTCCATTTACGCTTTGTCCATCGCAGTACAAGTCCATTTGTCTATCATTTTATGGCGATCGTATATGTTTTTGGATAATTCAATGTATAAAGTATTTTTAAGAAATATTTTTCCGGGACTCCTGAAAGAAATTCCATTAGTTATCCGGAAGAACATGATCTTTCAACACCATAACGTAAGAAATATCCGGATCTATTTATGAAATCTTTCGAGATATATAAATTGATTAGATAAGATTTCAGGATTCTGGATATGAATTTTTCGGAATTTTTCTTTTAGGGGATACTTAAGAATTCATCAACATCAGCAAAAAAAATGAATAACAAAAATTCATATTGTAACATCGACATCGATATCACGTAAAAGTTATAACAATAAGAGGGTAGAAGGATTATATCGAATCTCATTTATCATAAAAAAATTATCTCAATAAATTTGTCAAATAAGTTTGCTCGTCAAGATTAAGGAAGGCTATTCAAAAGAAGATAATATATTTCCAATTTTGTTAATTGGTGAATTGTTTTTTAATTTAATGTAGATGTAATGTATTTTACTTTTCAAATATGCATTATTAAATTGAATTATTAAATTTTGTAAAAAATGTGATACTATTCTTTTTATAATTTTACATTATTCATTTTTTATCAACTTATTCGATTAAATTTGTTTCATTCGTCTTATAACGATTAATCAATTTATTCGTCGTAATTCGATGTAGATTTTCATCGTTGAAAAAATATTTATTATATCGCGCTCTGTGATTGGCCAATATTTTCGTTAATAAAAAAGCGTAACGAAAATTTTTGCAAAGAAATCCGTTTCTTGAAATTACCTTAAAAATCTTCAGTTAATGACTGTTTCTATATTTTCTAAATACGTATATCCTATAAATATTAATATCAATCATTTAATGATATACAACATCATTAAATTATGCACGAAATAAAAATGATAATGTATGATAATGTATGAATTAATCTCTTTTTCCTTATGTCAATTATCTCAATTATTTCAATTATCAAGAATCTTTGAGTTTCTTATATCTAACAATGTTTTGAATGAAATGGAATATTTTGTAGATCAATAACAGTTACAAAGAGACATCATAGTCAATGTTCTCAGTCAAAGCCAAGATACGATCCTTGTGTTATATTTTTTACTGGCCAATCAAATTTTCTTCTCTTTCCTAATCATATGTCATAAACCCAAAAACATTCGTCAACTTCGATCGTTCATGACAGTCTAATACTCAGTCTCAATTCAATTCATATCAATATCTTTCAGATCTTTATCCAGATTAGATCAGAGTTTCAATTATTTTCACTTAAAAAGAAGAAATAAGACAATTCATATATCATGTATCAATGAGAAATTTAAGAAAATTATCGCATTCTTTAATTTCAATATTATTTTGATAAGTAAAATTATAAACAAAATTCGAAAATTCAGACTTAAATATTAATTTATCAAGGATACAATTCAATTAATTCTCAGTTCAATGACTTCTACAAGAACGAATTGATTCAAATCGACGAAAAAACTCATCTATTGTGTTTTCGAAGAGAAACCGCGAAAAGCATTGAATCCTTTGCTAATTCTTAGGCAAATTATCCTAAATTACTCGATCATACAATAAACTGTCATATTTAGACATTAATTTCGTTCCTTTGTGAATGTATGGATTTCTATTTTCTTATTTTTAAACATATAGAAATTTAATTATAAATTTGATTACATTTTTACGATGTAATTGTATATTATACACAATATAATTATATATGTAATAATATAATTGCATGTTATGTATTTTTAATTCTTCATAAAATTATATTTCTTATATTTTATATTTTTAGAATTATTATTAGATTATATTTAGAATGTTTATATGAAACGATTCTATCAAAATTATTCGAATTTTTTACTTTTGTAGATGAGAATTACTTTAAAAAGGAAGATTCCTTCAATATGATATAAAATGAAAAATGATCACAAAAGAAAAGTAACTGTTGTTTCTGATTTTATATTAAATTCAGTAATGAAAATTGATATTCGAAAAACGTGAATTAAAGAAAAATTAAAAAAAAAGCCACTTTGTGATAATTTATCTATAAAATAGAAAAACACTCTTAGAAGTACATTTTGTTATTGTATATTTTTTGTTATTATAAATATATAGATATAAATCCTGAAACTTCGAATAGTAAAATGTTTTCGAATAGTCAATTTATATGTTAGAAAAAATCTATTTGATCACAAAGAAAAGAAACAGAGTTGTCAAAAGATCCGGATCAAGATTCAAATTTAATAATGCAACAATTCTCATTAATGAAATTAACATAACAATATAAATATTTGATTGAAAAATGAAAGGAGAAATTGTGATGTACATCCAACATACTCTTCTTGAAAACAATTA